GGGTAAGATGTAAAAGAACAGTACGTGGGTTTCTTCCATAATTAAAAAAAAAAAAAAAAAAGCTATAACAAAGTAATAAGGAGTGGGATTTCCCAGGAGAAAATAAAATGGGCAAAGAGCAAATCTTTAATGAGGAAATGAAAGTGTGCCTGATGAATGACTAACTAGGGCAACACAGAGATATGATTTTTACTTAATCAATTGTCTATTTTTTAAAAGTTTTGATATTCTGTGTTGGTGCAAGTGCAGGGCGCTGAGTATTTTACACACAGCAGGTGGAATTGTAAATTGGCCCAACTCTGCAGAAGGCCACTCGGCCAGCATTGCAGAAGGTATTACGGTGCTGTACAGCCTACTTCTAAATGATGGGCTCCAGGAATCAATTGGAGATGTGTGCGAAGGCAGCTGTACAAAGCCACACGGCATCTTTCACAACAGAAACAGGTCTCATAGGCATCCAGACTGGGCGGTGTCTCGGAGCCCGGAGCCCGGGAACCCCAGCACCTCTGCCAGCTTCGCTCCCAGATGGCTCCCCCGGCAGCTTCCCTGGCTGCCCCTCCTCTGCCACCCCTGTGCTCCGGCCGGCACGCGCCTCCCCTTCCAGCTCCCTTGCAGCTCCAGGACTGCAGCCCAGGCCTCGCCCCTCTGCCTCTCCCTGCTGCTTTGCTTCAGTGCAGGTGTTTTGTGATTTGGGGTGGTGGAGATGAAGATGAGTCCTGGGTGTCGCTTGGCCGCGGGAGGCCATGTCCTCAGCTCTGGGGCCACTGGGCAAGCCCGGGTTGCTCACACGAAGATGCAGACAGGAAACCGACAGGTGCACACCACGCCACCAGCTGCCCTGAGTCCTCGGACACCCCTCTGGGTCTCCATACCCACACTCTGCTTAGAGCCAGGGCAACTTTCCTGAGCCTGGGACTCGGCTTAGACGGACCCGGTCCTCACACCCGCACCAGCCCCGCGGGACCAGGCACCCCTGCTTCTCTTACAAATGTCTCTCCACGCGCACAGAACTGCCAAGAACCTAAACATTTCCTATGGCGACCACCCTGGCCTGTAGCAAGTTCCTTCCCCAACAGGAGTCGGAGCCGGTGGCTGGGCTGGGGCCTCGCCTGGTGGCTGAGGGGCATCTGACCCGGCTCCCTGCCCCAGGACTCTCTCCTCTCTGCCCTCCAGTGGTTTGGTGCTCCGTAGATGCGACCCAGTTCCCAGCCAAGCTCCACCGCCATGCACAGTTCTGGGAGACACCGGTCTGTGACCCTGGGCACTATGCTGCCTGCCAGCACTGCATGTCTTCTGCAGCCTCTGAATTTGGGGAAACTGAGGCATGGAGCACAGGTGCACGGCTGGCAAGCAGAGACCATGCTGAGGCTTCTTCCTGGCTGAGGGGCATGGCTCCAAGCCTGGCCCCACTTAGTTGACCCGGCCTCGAGCACCCACGGTGCCTCAGCCCAGCTGTGCCGACAAGCGGGCTGCCCAGGCCCCTCGGCCATGCTGGTCCACACTGCACAACATGGCCCTTGCAGAGGCAGATGGGAATCTTATGCCTGCGGCCCAAGCACCCAACAGAGGTTTAAGAATGCTGTGTAGCAGAGGCAGGGAGCCCCTCCGCCTGGGCCCCGAGTCCTGGCCCATGCTGGGCAAGCATCGAGCCTCTCTTCCCCACCCCTGCTTACCATGGCTAGCGGGATCACTCCGACCAAGTCCTTCTGATTTACGTAGATCTTGGACACACCCAGGTCGGAGGTGATGTCTCCAGGGTACTCCACCTGCCATGTGACAAGCTGTGTGGCTGGAGGGTCACTGGGCTCTTCTACTTCCACGTCAATCTGCATGACTTCCTCAGAGCTATTGTCTGCACTGGAAAGAAGGAGAGGAGAGCAACTGTGAGGGGTGGAGCAGCTGTAGCCAGCCAAATCCACGAGTACCACGACAGGCATGGGGGTGATTATAGTATCCCTGTCAAGATGCTTTAAGGACAAACCATCATCCCAAGCTCCTCCCCATGCATCTGCCTGCCTGAGACACCCTCACTCAAGGGTCCCAGCTCCCTCTTTGTGGCTGCTCACCACGCCCAGGGCAGGGATTGTGAACAATCATGGAAACCGAGACTGTATCCAGGACCTGTTCCTGTACCCCAAGAAGCCTTTGTGCTGCTTTATTAGATTTCCTAGGCCATAGCCAGCCCCAGGCAGTGCACAGAATTTTAAGGGAGGTGAGGACAGTGATCTTTGTGTCCTGTGACAGTGACAGGTAACTGTGGAGTGCTGCAGTGAGGACAGTGTGCAGGAAAAGCCACCACCAGGGCCAGTGACAGCGCAGAGAAGCCACCAGCAGTGACCTGGGGGCAGGGAACTCAGCCAGCCGCCGGGGTCCACAGGCTGCCGCCAGTTCTGGCCCAAGGAGGGGACCGGGACCGCCGCAGAGGCCCTGTGATTCCTCAGCTCTGGCCATGGGTGAGTTTTGTACACCACCTGCACTCTGAGGGGTAAGTGAGAAACGACGGCAGGCGGCAGCCACTCGTGGAGAGTGACGAGGAGGTCAGCAGGCGCGGGCTCAGGGGGACACGGCCTGCACGGCCCCACGGCAGGCCGCCTCGCTGCTGGCCTCAGACCGGCTCACAGGAGGATGGATGGTGGCCGCTGAGGACTCACAGGGTCCCTTCCCAGGAGCGGAGGCCAAGGGGACACCTTCACAGCACCCTCAAACCCAGGCCGACACCGCTAGGAGCTTCCTTCCTCCTGTGGCAGGGGTGGGACAGAGCTAGAGTGTGGGGTGACCGCGGGAAGGAGCGGGAGAAAGGGGGAGACAGAGACCGATGGGGAGGAGGCGTGGGGTGGGGAGACGAAGGGAGGGTGGGGTGCAGAAAGCAGGCGCAGGGCGGAGCTCAGCCCCCACCAGCCTCCAGCTCTCTGCGCCTAACACAGCAGCAACCCTGGACTGCGGACTCTCTGCCTCTCTCCTTTCCCTCTGTGCGTGAACTCAGGCGGGGCTTGGAATCCAACCGCTCAGCCCCACGGACACCTTCCCTCCCCCCGCATCCTTTCTTTTCCTTTTCCCTGGTTCTGTTTTTAGACCTGCACTCTGAGGACCCCAGCCCACTTTCTCTTCTTTTCCTTCTCTAAGATAAATGGGATCATACACAGAGTGTGTAACAAACATGCTGTCTCGGAGCGACACCGGGCGTCAAGCGTATGACCGAGGCGCACAGGAGCACAGCGACCGCCTCGCAGACGGACTCACGTTTCTGTCCGTCTTGAGAGCAAAAGCGTCGAACAGCAGGAATCCGAACGCAGCAGCCCGCGTGCCCACGCGCCCTGTCCCGGCATCAGCGCCTGCTCCCCGCGGCCAGCCTGTCCCTTCTCACTTCTGCCCCCTCCCCTCCAATTTATTCTCGTAAGTCCGCCTATTTTTTAAAGAATTCTCTTACGAGGTGTGATCATGAGATACAGTGAGCGTTTAAATGAAATAATTTCCTACATTGAAAGACACATGGCCCACATTCCCCATCAAAATACTCCCCTTGCTTCCAACATGCTCGACCTACCGTTCTTGCCACTTTCTGAAGCAGCTCTGGAGTCCTCTTTCGTGACTCTCTTTACACCACATGATCAAAAACACAGTGACTGCCGCCGCCATGCGCCCTCCAAACGAAAGGCAGCTCGCAAACACAGGACCCTGTGCCCTCACCCGCCCGTTCGTCACATCCGGCACTGTGTGACCTCCGGCTTCTCCCGAAAGGCAGAGTGACCATGAAAGGGAACCGTTTGGAATGGACTCAGGACATCGAGGCAGCCAGGACAGCACAGCTAAAGACAGTCAGGAGAGAGGACTGCAGAGCTGCCATGGGAAGAGTAGGAAAGAGAAGATGAAGGAGTTGGGAGCCGGGGGAGGATTTTGAGGGCAGTTAATGACCATGTGTCTTTTACTGTAATAACATTTTAAAAACTGAAACATTCACCGTGTTTTTCCACCGCATCCCATATAGACACCCATAAATGTGATGTATTTTATTTCTCAGTGTCTGGTTTACCCCACTCAGCGTAACGTCCTCCGGGCTCATCTGTGTGTGACAAATGGCAGGCTCTCATTTTTCAAGGCTTCATAATGTTCCACTGTGCACATATATGTGCATGCACAGGTGCAAACCCCCTTTCTTCGCACAAGCCACACACAGTTGCCTTTTCAGACCCCTAAAGTGTCATCATCAGCCTCAACTCGCTCTCTGGGATAAGCCTCTGGTACGTGTGCCTTGGTCTTTTCACTGAGGATTCCCAGGAACTCCGGCACTGCTCTCTTCCTGAGGAGAAGCTCCCGGCCGCACGGGCAGCACCGGCCGCACCGTGCACTCTCAGTCGAGGGCAGGGCAGATTTGTGGGAGAGACCTGGCCACAGCTGAGGTCAAGGCCTGGGCTCCTCCCTGCTGAAATGTGGACCCCACTCCTGTGCTTTCCTCCTGGGAGGGGGCCACAGCCCTGGATCCCGTGGGAGCACTTCCCACCTGGAGTCCCAGCCCCAGCCACGGCTCCCCTCCTCAGAGGGTGCTGGCTCCCTTCTTCTCCGACTCTGAGACAGGGCGGCAGCCGGCCCCTGGCCAGCCGCTTGCTGAGTGGTGAAACTCAGAGCCGGCTGCCCCAGCCTCAGGGCCAGGGCAAACTCCAAGGAAGCCAGCCAGCTGGTCTGCAAGCATTTTCTGGGAGCTCTGCTCAGCCTTCCTGGAGCTTGCCATTAGGGGTGCGCAGGGCACACGGGCTGAGGGCTTCCTCCGACCTTTTGTAGGGGCCGAGCTGCGCAGCTCAGCGCGTCCGCGGGGATTTTAGTCCAATGCCCTTCAGTAAATACTTGTCACTCGAGGACTTACAGAAAGCATCCAGAACTCCTGGCATTTGGCGATAACGATGACTCCGTTCTGCTCACCTCTAAAGGAAGGATAGAGCCCCCACCATAACATGTGCACCTGTGTGTGTGCGCGTGTGTGTGTTGCTGCAGGTGTGCTGTGAAAAGTGGCCATGCTGTGGTTTTTGAATCTGCCCACCACATGGTGCAGTCCTGGTATCCACCAGAAGGAACTGTGCCCTGCAGGGAGGTGCAAACAGTGGGCTGTGTACACATGTGTAAAACGCGTCTGATCGGAGCCACCACTCTCCACCTCTCTCATGTAGGAATTGCCCAGAGGAACTTGAAGAATAAATCAGTGGTGGCCCCGGCCCACAGACCGGAAGGGTCTGAGTCCAGCCAGGCCTCCTGCTCCTCCCTTCTCTCCCTCCCCCTCTGTGCTTCCTGCCTTAAAGACTGAATGACTGAGTCAGGTTCAGGATCGAAGGTGCAGGCCCCTCTTCCCTGGACACAGATGCACGGCACAGCCTCAGAAAGGGGAAACCCTGTCTCAGCGCACCTGGAGGAGAAGACTGGTGAAGACACAGCTGAGTTTCCACGTCTGCACCTGTGGACTTGGAGGGGCAGACACAGAATCCCGGCCCCAGCACCCAGGGTGTGAACGAGGCCTCCCTGCCCATTCCCTCTGGTGGCCTGGATACAGGCCAGTCCCAGGCTCTCTGTCTCCTCTGCCACACCGAGTGCAGCGGGGAGGCTGCGCTGGGGTGGGTTTCGCATGGAGGACAGCACAGGTCATTTGGGAACAGGCCCGGGCCTGTCATAGTCACACGCAGACACCGGAAAGCCTTCTGCGACGGGAGCTGCAGCGGCTCCCGATTCCCTCATCAGCATGGGGCCTGTGGACACAGAGTGTGAGTCTCAGTCTGCTTGCTGTGGTCGTCCACCCATGGGCCACCCCAAGGAGGAGGCGTGCAGGATGGCCCTGCATGTGCGCTCTGGGCGGGGATTGGGAGGACCGGGTGTGGCCCGGGAGGAAGTTCTGAGCAGTGCTCCTCTCCTGAGAGGAGGCTGAGCAGCATTCTCTCAGAAGGAAAGCTTCTCTCTGCTCTCTGACTCCCACTTCTGGGCTCTCTGCACACTGGATTCAAACTCTACAGCTTTTCACGAGGAAGAGCTTCATCTGAACAGGGAAGAAAACACCTGCTGGCTGAGGCCGGGCTCAGTCAGATACGAGGCCGCACCCTCGAGCCTGGGGCCACCGCTCGGACACCTGCACCATCCCCGGAAGGCAGAGCTGAGCCACTTCAGCAGATCCCACTGCCAGAAAAGGACATGTTTTCAAATCTTATGTTAGGATGCTCCTGCCTCTGCTTCCGGAGTGACGCGATAATTAACCTTTATTGGGTATTTTTCATGTGTCAAGCATGGTTTTAAGAGCTTTTTTATGTCTTTAGTAATTGTCAAGGTACCGCAGTGACTACGGTAAAGTTCTCACTCAGTTTACAGTTGAGGAATCTGGGCTGAGCGATGGCAACCAGGTTCCAGGGGAGGAGCCCAGAGCCGGCTGCAGCATGCCCAGCCCCACCCTCTTTCCCGGGTGACAAGAGCCACGCCCTCGACAGTGCAGAGCCCACAGCACCTTTCTCTCTCCACTGGGACACAGGGCAGTGCAGTATCCCAAGCTCACTGAAGACCCAGGCGCTGGATCCAAATGCTTCAAAAGAATTCTGAGCAAGCAAAGCAGGAACATTTTGATAGCAAGGTACTTTGAAATAGCTTTGCCTTCGGGGTGCTATGTTTAAGTCCTATGATGTGTCTATGAATCAAAGCGGAAATGTGGAAACAACAGCATGGGATATGAAAGCTTAACCACGCATTTGGAGAGATCAAAACCCGCGTAGACGTGGACCCGGGGGCAGAACCGTTTACGGCTGTGCCTGAGAGGCAGATGGAGGTGTCGGGGAGCTGCCTGTGCTCTGCTCTAGACTGGAGCCAGCGCATCATGGAGCCCGAGGCCAACTGGC